GTAAAGAGCAATGCCTGGGAAAGCAAGAGTTCCTGCAGAGGGGGAACCCTGGGAACCTGTCCGTGGCCTACCGGGCACACCAGCACTAGCAAAGCTATTTGGAGATCTCCCAGAAACTATTTTCAGGAGGAACTCGGTCAAGAGTGATTTCTGCATCCTTCTCCTGTCTGGAAGCCTGCCCACCTAATGCATATTCGGACCCTAATGCGTATCCAGGGCAGCACCCGAGCTGTCTCCCTGCCTGGGACTGGAGGGTCCCTAGTGGGTGTTTCACCCCTCCCTCCACTACACCCAGGGAGCTTCTCCAGTGAGCCTGGCATAGTCCGCTGGCTTATGGGGCAGCCAGCGAGGCCTGTGCCAGACCCACAGATCCGGCTCTACCAACTCCTGGAAGGCCAGCCCAGAAAGGCTAGTGGGCCAGCGTGTAATAGCCTGGGTGCCCCCAACCTCCTTTCCAGCCCGGCCACTGATGCGTTTAGCCCCTTTCTTCCTGGGGTTTGTTATCTAGAGTCGGATCGCAGTCTGCAGGCCTGTCCTCCTTCGCTTGCTGGTGAACACAGACAGGAGACCTGCTGCCCGCTGCCCCTGTCCCCACCCCTGCCCTCAGCACCCTTTTATTTTGGCCTTTGTCTACAGGCAGGTCGCTGACGCAGCCCCGGGAGCTGAGAACCGCTATCCTCCTCCAGGCAGGAGGCGTTTCTGCTGCCGGCCTAACTAGCCCAGGACCCAGAGCCCAGGCTGGACTCCCGCCGGGGCGCAAGGCTGGCCCAGTTGGATTTGGCTAAGGGCGAGGTGTCGCTCTCAGGAGCTGCGTCTCCTCCGAGCGAGTGACGAAGACCTCGCTCGCTCTCGCGGCTTTCTTTTTTTTCCTAGTACGCGTACATCACCAATAGCAGCGAGGGGAGTTGCAGGGACAGTGGAAGGGCTGAGAAAGTCTTCCTCTTCGAGCATCTTTTCAAGAAAACAATCCCGCGAGTCCGGGTGGGCAGCCGGGCGACCTGCGTCTGCTGCAGCGCAGCGGCCTCCGGAGCCGCGCGGGGCTTGGGTTTGCCGGACCGGCGTCGGAGTCCCTAGGTCCTCCGTGCACTGACGCCGGCTCCCTGCTTTGTGCTCTCCGAGGCCCCTCTTTGTCCGCTAGCCTCGAAAACATGCGGAGAGTTCTGTGTAAGCGGGTGCTCCGCGGCCAGGCTGCTGGTCCCTGCTGAGGGCAGAAGGGAAACCAGGGTCCCAGGCCAGGGCTGCCGGAAATGCTCCGAGAGGGGCAGATGGCCGCTGCTGGCTCCCCTGATGGAGCACCGAGGTCAGCGGCCGCTGGGATGCTGAAGGCGGAGGAGAGCAGCCCGCCCCCGCGCAGGGCAGCCGCAGAACCCGAGTCAGAGCTGGAGACCCACGCCTCAGATCCCCGGGCACAGCAGATCTGAAAATGTCTCCTCCCGGCACGGCGGGAAGCATGGCCACCCCAAACCCCTGGTGCATCAATAGGCTGGGACCGAGCCTCCAGCACCGCACTAGAAACCCTTAAAGGGGGTGAAAGCTGTTTGTGACGCTTGGAATTGCCCCAGCCCCTGGGTAGCGGAGCTTTCTGATTTCACGCCAGCTTCGTCTGGTGGAAAAAGTCCTTTGGATGGCACCCTTTCTCAGGGGTTACTCGAAGTTTCTTGTTATTTTGATTTTGGAGTCGGTTTGGGTAGCCCCACAGACACCTCTATATTTACTTCAGGATTCCTTGCGCCTTACTCTCACCCCATCCTCCCTCCTACCTGCAGCCCCTTCCTTCTTGGGAACGACCAGACCAAGGAACTCCCCTCTTTTTGGCCTAGCTGGGTTTGCCATTGGAGACCCAGGCCCAGATGAATATTGCAGGGGAACCAGCTGGATCTGCCTATGACAGGGCTGTTCGTTGGAGTTTATGTTGCAGATCTGAATTTGAATCTTTGACGGGGAAAGAGCACAAAGCTCAGCACAATGGGGAGGTCTAATGCCCTAACAAACAGAGGCAGAGGTGCCCAAGAAATTAGGAAGTATACCAAGAGAGGGTCTAACTGGTTTTCATGGGGCACGTGTGCGGGAACCTCAGAGCCCTCAAGATCCAGTTCTGGTCCAGTTCAGGAGACCAGAAGTAATCAGGCTGGTGATAGTTGAAGTCCCCAGAGTCGGAGAAATTTCCTGAGACCCTAAGCCTGTGCTCACACAATGTTTCCTCACTATGAACTACCCCATTTTCATAGAGGCAGGTAAACATGCCCACCCCCCAAGTCTTACTATGTAGCCCTGGCTAGCCTGGAACTCACTATGTAGAGCAGGCTGGCTTCAAACTCATAGAGATCCACCTGCCTCTGCATCCTCTGGGATTAAGGGCATGCGCCAACAAGCCTGGAGTCTCTCTCTCTCTCTCTCTCTCTCTCTCTCTCTCTCTCTCTCCCCTCAGGAAGGATCTCCAAAAGGCATGTGTTTTAGTCAAAAACTGGTGAGCAGCCCTCCAATTGAGAAAAATAGAGAGAGACAGGGAGAGATGTGGGGACACTCCCCTCCCCAAGTGCTGAGTGGCTTTTCCCTCCTTTAGAGACACACACAGGACTTAGTCACCCTGTCTGTCTCTGACAGCCAGACCACCTTGAGCTGCTTGGGGAGCCAGTCCAGAAACCCTTCCCCAGCTGCTCTCTGTGGACTTATTTCTCAGGGAGCAACCTTTGGGGCTTGTTTCTTCTGGTAGAAATGCCAACACTTGAAACCTGCCAGATAGAAAACATGGCTGGGTGTGTGTGCCCAAGCCAGGGGCACAACTGTTGACCTAAATGTAGCCAGGCAGGCCTCCATGCCTGGGGGCTGCTAGCCCTGACCCTTGCCCTTCACCAGGACCTGGCAGCTCCTTGCAGGTGCCCACCTGGAGTTTGGCCGAGGTGGGCCACCAGACAGGGTGCCAATTGCAGCCCAGGGCCAGTCACCCAGCAAGGCCTCACCCCCAGCTCCACTTCCAGGCTCTCTCTCCACTCAGGAGACTCCTGTTATCAGGCCAGCACTCCTGTGCCCCAGTGCTTCCCTTTTGAATGTTTCTCAAAGTTCATAAATTTCCATAAAAATGCTTTTTTTGTAATGGACAGGGGAGCCTAGGGTAACAGGGATGTGCTTCGTGGGGGAGGAAAAGCAATCTGGGAGTTGCTTGGAAGACATAGAGGAAGAGAATAGAGAAAGGCCATTCTGTCAGCAACTCTGGAGAAGTTTGGAGACAGATGAAAAGGGGAAAACAAATTGGGGGCCCCCACCCTGCCACGGGATTCCCATTCTTCCAAATTAGCCCTGCTTTCCCGCAAAATTAGCTTTAAGTGTTTTAAGACAAAGAGAGGTGGATGGGCTGGTAGCTCATGGAGGGGGCGCGGGGGACGGTAGTTCAGAAGGCTGAGGGGCCAGAATTGCAGTCGCGCGTTCCCTCCCGGTGGATTTGAAGGTTTGGCTGTGCAGTCATGACCCCCCCCTTTTCCCCCAAATAAAAATTTCTGTTATAACCCCCCTCAGTGCTTTATCTCCCCCTTCCACAACCCGGGCCACAAATTGTATTCGCGCGCAGATAAGAATCTGCGTCCGGAGGAGCCGCGTCCACGGTGGAATCCTACCGTATACACGCGCCTCCCCGCACACGCACAGACACGCACCCTAAGAGCGGTGTCTGCTGGGCGAGCATCCAGCACGCTCCCCCTGCCTTTCCAACAGGATACCACCAGGTTAGCAAAGTCAAATGTAAGTGACAATTCGCCCCCCACCCCCAGCGAGTAAAGCGGGCTACAAACCTCCCTTTGTATGTACGCAGCTCGTTTAATATTATTTATGCATTTTGTGCAAGGAATTGTGGGATTTCTCCCTGCGGTAAACAATATGGAAATGTTAAAAATAACGATCTTGCCGCGCGCGTCCCCTTCTGCATACCAGGTGACCTGGCGGGACTGTCGCAGGAGTCCTCGGATTCCCGAGCCGGGGATCCACCGCGGCCGCGCGAGCGCGGAGACTGGCTGGGTCGTGGGCTCCCGCGCCTGGAGCCGGGAACGCGGCCGCTTTAAGGGGGGGAGGGGACGCGGGGCGGAGGAGGGGCGGCGGGCGGCTCCTGTCACCGAGCTGCCGCCGGCGAGTCACGTGGATGCGCGGCGCCGCGGCCATTGGCCAGAGGCACGTGTCCAGGAGACCGGCCCGCGACGTCACTCGAGGGGGCTCTGTTAAAAATAAGAACAAAAATCCAGAGTGAAAGTGTCTCAGGTTGCGCTAAGTGGCCTGGAAATTGCCCGAGCCCGCGCGGAGGCCGAGGCGGCGAGGGCGCGCGGACAGGCGGGGAGCGCGGGAGGCCCAGCCCTGCCCGGCCCGCCTCCCGCCCC